CCGTAGCGCGCGCCGTTGGAGGCGCTGCCGTTGGCGCCCAGCGAGGCCTGCACCGCAGACAGGTCGCCGACCAGCAGCGGCGGCTCGCCGCCCGCGGCGGCGGCGGCGCCGTTGCCCGCGCCCGCGCCGTTCTGCTTGCCGTCCGTCTCGGGCACGATCTGGTCGGTGGAGGCGGCCTGCGAGGGGGCGGAGATTCGGGGAGGGGAGCAGGATTCGGCTCTGGATGCAAGGTGGCGCTCCAGGCGTTGCCTTCGGGCGCCCGGACGCCATGAGAGCACAGCCCAGGAATTCTGCCGTCTGGCATGCGCGCCCGCCCCTCAGGCGCACCTCCTTTGTCACCAGGCTCGACCGCCGGCGCTGGCCGCCCGCCAGGCCCAGTCCCAGCGACCTTCTGGCAGGCTGTTGCCATCTGGTGCTTTTGCCGGTTACAGCGCTCACGCGCAAAGGCGCCCTCTGCACAGCCGCTGTGGTGAGCAGCATGGCGCTCCTGTTGCTGCCCTCGCTGCACGGATTGTGTGATGGATTCGCGCAGCAAATGTGTGCGACTGGACAAGCGAAGTGCGCCGCTTGTGCTCCATGCTGTGTGCTGCGCCTGATCCTGATGCTGCAGCCGCCGCCCATCGCCCCGCCCTTCCTTCCGTTTCTAAACGGCACCAGAGGGTGACAGAACTTTAATCAAATCGGGCATAGGGGCTGAGCAGCGCCGCTGAGCAGCGCCGTTGACAGGCAGGGCGCCACGGCCTGGCGCCGCCGTGCGGCTGTCCTGTGGTTGCCTCACTGCATACTTGCAGTAATGGGGGGGTGCCTTACAGCGGCCCAGATCGGGGTGGGATTGGATAAGGGTAACAGGGATGGGGCGAACCGCGGCCGCACTGGCTCAGGCCGGGCAAAACGGAGGAGAAGAAGGCAGGCAGACTGCCGCCGCCACAGGCGCGGCGCCCGGCGGCGGCGGCAACCTCCAGGAGAAAGCACAAAGGCAACCAATGCTAGGTCAGATGGGGAGAAGGTGTCAGGACGGGGGCGAGTCAGGTGGCTGGTTGGCAGCGCGGCGCGGCGGCGAGCGCTTCGCCGGCTGGCTGGCGGCCTGGAGAGAGCGAGGGCGAGGGAGACGGAAGCATATAGGGGAGCGCAGCGCCGCGCCTGCAGCCTGTGCAGCGGCGTGCAAACCGCACCCGCCTGCGCATGCAAGCATGCGTGCAAGGCAAGGCAAACGCGGCGCGGCAGCACGGGGGCTTGCTGTGCCGCACAAAACGAGGGCCAGGCGTGTGTGGGGCAAAGCGTGTGGGTGCGCCGGCTCAACTGGCCAAGCGACGGCCAGGGGGCAAGGGGCGAGTGTGACGGGGTCGGGGCGGCAGCCTGACGCCCCGGCGCGGGCACAGGACGGGGACGGTGGCGGCATACGGAGGGGACTTGGGTGTGAAGGGGTCATGTGCCATGTTCCTCCACGTAATGAAATGATGGAGGGCCACCCCTGAGGGGTGCCCCTCCACTCTGCAGCGGACAGAAATGCTCCACTCCTCTGGATGGCGACTAGGTGGTCCACTGTGTCGGGTGTCGGCCCAGAGGGCCGGTTCTAGGTGTCCTTTGAAGGGGCTCGGCTCTAGATGTGACGCCTCTGGATGCCCTCAAGAGGGGCTCACCAATCCAGGGGCTCCAGCTGCCATCGCCTAGATGTCCTCCATAGGCACATCCTCATCCTCGCTGACCTCATCCTGGGCCTGCCACACGCGCAGCACGGGGCGGCGGCACAGGCGCAAGCTCAGACCGCCAGGCCGGGCCGGCATGGCGCAGGCCGAGAGCCACCCCAGCACGCAGCCACCCCACCAAGCAACTCTCTAGCTGCCAGCCGTCCCGCGAAGCAGCCGAGGGGTGTCACTCCCTTAACCCGCCCCTTCCCTTGCAACGCCCAGCATAGCCCCAGGCCCAGCCCAGCCCCGCCCAGGCCCAGGCCCCGCCTGTAGCCCCACCTGCAGGCCCAGGTCTGCCAGGTTGGCGGCCGAGTCTTGCTGGCCGCCCGCCGCCCGCAGGATATCTGGGTCCTTGCCCTCGGCAGCCGCCGCCGCCATGCTCTGCGTGGGGGGCAGCAGGGGAGGCGGGGGCGGGCGGCGGTGGCAGGGGTGAGGGGTGCAGGGGTGCGGGGCGAGCGCGCGCGGGGAGGAGGGGCGGGGAGGATGGCGAGGGGAGCCAGGCGTGGAGGGGTAGCGGGCCGCCACAGGCACAGGCGGGGAGGGGAGCTCGCACGCACACACACACATGCCTAGCGCTGCACACACACACACACACACATGCCTAGCGCTGCACACACACACACACACACAACACACACACCTGGAACTGCTGGAGCTCCCGCTGCCGCTGCTCCTCCCGCGCCGCCTTCTCCGCCGCCGCCTTCTCCTCGGCCTCCCGCCGTTTCCGGGCCTCGGCCTGCGGGCACAGGGGCGGCGGGGGCAAGCGGGAGACGGCGGGCGGTGAGGATGCCGACCAGCAAGGCAGGACGGCCGGGCGGAGTGGCACGACGGCAGCACCAGCAGCGGCGCAGGGCATTCGGCGGACCAACCCAGTGAGCGCCTGGCACCAGGCAGGCCCCAGACCAGACAGCCAGCAGCAGGGCGGCGCCCCCAGCCAGCCTGCGGCGGAGCAACCCAGGGAGCCCCTGGCGCCGGGCCGGCTGCAGCCAGCCATCCAGCAGCAGGGCTGGCGGCCCCAGCCAGCCAGCAGCGGAGCGGGGCCCACCTCACGCGCCTCCCTCCTCATCGCCTCCAGCTCTGCTTCTTTCTTCTTCCGCTCCGCCTCCTCAGCAGCCTTCTTGGCCTCCTCCGCCTGCGCCAGGCGCCAGGCGACACCAGCGGCGCGGCGCTCAGCCGCCCACCCCACCAGCAGCAGCTGCACACCAAACTGCCAGCCGCAGCGCATGCATGCACGGCCGCGGGCGCCCGGGCCTGGCGTGCTGCACGCCCCCCAGCGTGCCGCCTGCCTCGCGGCACCCTGCAGCCTTCGATTAAACCCCCACCTGCAGCTGCTGCGTCTCGCGGCCCTGGAATTCTGTCCAGAGGTTGTCATCCTCAGCAGGCCCCGCCTCGGCGCCCGCCACGGCCGCCGCGGCCGCGGCCGGCTGCGCGGCGCCCGCCCCGCAGGCGCGGCACTCAGATTGGCCCAGGCCCCCGCATTCTGCAGCTGCACCTCCTGCAGGGGGGCCGGAGGGAGGGGCCGCGCGGGGAGGGGAGACGTGCGCTGAGGTCCCGGCCGTGCATGCCGCCGCGTGCGCGGCAGTGGCGTGCCATCCCCGACCGGTTGAGAGGAAAGGCCGGCCGGCTGCCCTGCTGCGCCGCTCCTCCCAGGCTGCTCCCTGTGACCCCACACCAACACACGCCCCCGCCGCCAGTCAGGCACGACGCACGGCGGCCTGCAGCCTGCCAGCCAGTCAAGCCAGCTACCTTCTTCTGTGTGGCGTTCTTGAGGATCTGAGACTGCACGCCAGGCCCTGTGGCGGACACAAAGGTGGTGAGATCGTGCGCTTGCCCTGCAGGTGGCAAGGAGGGGGGGGGCGGGGGCAGGCCGCCGAGGTTAGCAGCAGCCAGTGCGAGGTTGCAGCAGGCTGCTGCCACCCCAGCGCACGTGCGCGCCCCTCCCCCGCCGCCTGCCCGTCCCGATGGCCGGGGGCGCGTTACACAGGTGGGCGGCGCGGGGCGCTGGCCGGCGTCGGGCGGGAGATGGAGAGGCAGGGGAGGGAAGAGTGGCAGTGCGGGGAGGTGGGCAGCGGAAGCAGGCGACGGGCAGTTCGGAGGTAAGGGTCATGAGAGCCCCGCACAAGGGGAGAAACGGCGGCGCGGCGCCACGGGGTGCACGCAGGCGGGCAGGCGCCGCCGCCGCCACCGATCACAAGGAGGGCGGGTGTAATGAGTCAGGGGGTCAACAGCAGAGAGGCTACGTAGGTGCTGGGGAAAGGAAAAGGCCGCGGGATCACTCAACCATGGGGTCACCCCCGCCCTCGCCCTCTGCTGCCGGGCGCTTGCCCGGCGGGGCGGCCTCGACAGAGGGCTTGCCCGGCGGCGGCTCAGCCATAGAAGGCTTGCCAGGCGGCGGCTCAGCCATGGAAGGCTTGCCCGGGGGCCGAGGCTCAGCCGCGGAGGGCTTGCCTGGTGGGGCGGCCTCAACCGAGGGCTGGCCTGGCGGCCCCGGCTCGGCCTTGACCACCACCTCGCCCGGCGCGCCCCCGGCGGCGGCGGGCGCTGGCGGGGCAGCGGCAGCGGCAGCGGGGGGCACGCCCGGCAGCGGGGAATTACTTTGCTTTGCCTCTGCCTGGTCCGCCCGGGTGGAGCCGGCGCCGCCCTTGGACCCCACGCCTTCATCCGAGTCGGAGCCTGCGGGCGGAGAGAGGGTGGGAGAGAGAGTGTGTATGTGAGAGCAGATCAGGCAGGCAGGGGATGAGGAGAAGCGGCAGGAGACGGAGAGAAGGTAGCAGGCTCGGCAGGGCCCGGCCTGTGCCAAACAGCAGCCGGCTCCCAGCAGCGGGCCCACGCCAGCCACGCCTGGCAGTCGCAGCGCTCACCGCTGGTGGCCGCAGGCGCGCCGTCTGCCCCCGCGCCGTCGCCTGCCGCCGCCTGCTGCGCGCCGTTGCCGGCGACGGTCGCGGGCGCGCCGCCGGCGGGCGCGGGCGCCGCGGCGGGCGGCGCGGCGGGCGGCGCCGCGGGCGGCGCCAAGCCAGGCTGCTTGGCTGCCTCCGCCGCCACCACAGACTCCACATAGCTATGCAGCCTCCAGCAGGTGCCCGGGTCCAGAGCATCTATGTCCAGCTCGTACTCGTCCTCGTCATCCTGAGGTGGCACAGGGGAGGAAAACGCGGAAAGCAAGTGGGCGGCGGCGGCGCCTGGGGGCGCACCCGCGTCGGCGGCCGCGCAAGCTGAACGCCCCGATGGAATCTGCAAGCCTCCCGGGCCGCACAAGGCTGCCGCCAGCTGCTGCCGGCGCTGCCGCTGCTGGTGCTGCCACTACCCCTGGAGGTGACAAAATAAACAGCCCCCCGAGGCTCACCAGCACTGGCGCCGAGGGCCCGTCCGCTATGATCTGCAGCACATGCACCAGGCGCTCCCCCGCCAGCGTGCCCATGCTGTGAGACAGCTTGCGCTTCTCCTCAAACGTCATCTCCCGCCCGGGGCCCGGTGGCAGCTGCTGGCCATGCAGCTCCACCTGCACGGGGGGCGGTACCGCCGAGCAGAGTGCAAAGGAAGTTTGCGGCGGCCGCAGCACGGCACCCATGGGCCACGGGCCAGCAGCGCGGGCAGCGGGCTCCTGCTGCTGCTCCTGCTGCTGCTGCTGGGAGCCCACCCGCTGCCGCAGCCGTGCCGCCCCAGCAGCGGCGGCAGCGGCGATCAGCAGCAGGCCACCGTGCCACCTGTTCAGGCACGCGAGGCAGGCAGGGTGCTGCTCCAGCTCGGAGCAGCGCCCGCAGCAGCGCCTCCACGCGGGCAGCGGGCTCCTGCTGCTGCTCCTGCTGCTGCTGCTGAGAGCCGCCTGCCCTCCCCGCTGCCGCAGCCGTGCCACATACCTTGCGGGTGAGCTCCTGAAGCTCTGCGGTGACCTCATGCAGTTTGTCTGGGAGCGACTTGCTCTCCGCTTCCAGCTGCTGCGCCAGGGGGCAGGGGCCGGGGAAGGAAGAAAGCGGGGCACCAGTCAGCAGCGGCGCAGGCAGCGCCAACCGGGGCCGGGCCGAGGGGAGCCTCCCCCCGCTGCCGGCACGCATCCACACACAGCCAGCTGCGCCCTGCCAGCCCGCCACGCCCCCTCCGCGCTTCAAGCCGCAAAGGCGAGTCACGCCGCTGCCCCCGGCACCACCCCATGCCCCCTCGCCGCCGCAAGCGGCGCCCCCGGGCCGCCCAACGCGCCACTGCCGCTGCCCAGCCCCCAGCGCTGCCCGCCACCAGCCGCGCCGCCGCCCGCG